TTACCCATGTGAGGTTTAATAAACTTTATTCATCATAACCTTGCTGATAAAAATGTAAAATCAAATCTGTCGACATGAGGTTGATGTGATCACTTCAACAGGCAGTTGGGCTGTTATTCTGAAACGTGGCACAAATTGATCTCAGGATGTTGAAATGTTACATAAATCACAAAGAATATTCATAAAAGCTCATTTCCTTCAAACAAATTCATTTCACACTAAATGGTAATTTTCTTTAATTCTCTCTTGTATTGACTAAGATTTACAAAGAATTATGAGACATACAGTAGTACTAGAAATGTACCCTTTGGCATTCACCATCCAGCATCACATGAATTCATATTACAGCCTGTAGTTGAACTACCAATCAGATTTAAGAGTTGTGAAATTCAAACATTACTTGGGGTGTGGTTGCGGCTTTGGCGTAATGCAACACTGAAGATAAAGACCACAGGGAGGGAGAGGATTTGAGTCACATTCACATATATCAAACATTAACAAAGTGGTTAATGCAGTCAGTAACTGATGATCACACTCCAGACAGACACACTGAGAACAGGATCATTTCAAATAAAAGCAAACAATCATGTGTGACAAAACACTAAACTATAAAATCACCACACAAAAACTACAAGAAAACAAAACTAGACAGAATTACCAGACACAGACAATTTTTCATCTTATAAAGTACTTTTTCTTCTTCGCAGTTGTGCTCTTTATTTCCCTCCGCCCAGTTTATCCTGTGGACAACAGCATGAGAAGAATTTAGGACCCGCTATGTTAACACCAAAGGATTCAGTTGCAAGGAGGTGAAATAATAATTTAAAAAAACACAGGGCCACACACATCGCTCAAACATGGCGACGGTGTTTGACAACCAACAGTTTCTTGGACAACAACTGCTCATATTCTTCTAACTCATCGTCTCTCCTTATCTTCATCGGTGAGCCTGGATGGTAATTGTAAATCCTGGGTGTCCATGAGGGAAGACGACAAAAAACAGACAAACTAAAAACCAAGAAGACTACAAAATAAGACGTTTCACTACCATAACAATAAATTAATGCAAAAATATGGCCCGAGTATGTGACCAGATTTTCTTTTGTTTCATTCTCGCTGGAATTCCACATTGAATAGAAAGATCTTTCATAAAAAGTTATAAAATAAATAAGCACTCTTTCCCTTTGAGTTTGAGTAGAAAAAAAGTTGCGAGCCGTGAAGGCCTAAGAGGAGAAAGAGCAATAGGAGTGTTTTTCTTTTTTTATAATTATTAATGTTATTTTGCAGAAGTATCTTTGTCTCCTCGTCTTTGGCCTTTGTGGTCATAAACACTCACATACGCGCACGCACACACACAGTCACACACAGTCACACACAGTCACGCACACACACGCTGGTGGGTCATTGTGACCCGCTCAGTGGTTGCTGCTGGTCGTCAGTACACCCAGTTCACGGGCACCCACTGGGGTTCACTGCACAGTTTGTCCACAGCGGCCTGTAACGTCTCAAAGGCCTTGTCCAAGTTGTCGTTGACGATGGTCAGGTCGAAGTAGTGGCTGTACGCCCTCTGGATGCGGGCGCTCTCGTCCACCGTCTTCCTCAGGTCCACATCCTGTTAGCAGACGAGTTGACAGGTGAGTTGTGGAAACTTGAAGAGTGTCTCGATGAAAGAGTCGAAGTGATTAAAAAATTAATTTGCAAAAAGATATATAAAGTCCAATATTACCCAGGGAATTCCTCACTAACTTTATTATACAGCAGTTCATGATATTTGCAACTTAACATTTGATAAACGTAAATAAATAAGAATGATATGATGTAATAGATGTGTATCAGAGTTTCTGCAGGTTTCCACAAGTTAATTTGAATTGTTAAGACTATGATAATTGAAATTTTAGACCTCTGTCTGCATTAACCTACCGTGAGCTGCTTTGTTGTGATGCCTGCGTCCACCACAGCTTTGTGCATGGCCTTGAGTGTATCGAAATCTGGCGCCGCAATGAAAACCACGTAGGGCATGAACTCTGCTGTTTTGAGTACCTTCAGAGCCTGGACAAAGACACGAGAGACATTACAGCCAAAATAAATAACTAGTGTTCCCGTAACTCTGTTTTCTCCCGAATCCACCTTTGCTGTTCCATTGATTAAAAGACACCTGACAATATGTGTTCAATTCACCCCCGACATGTTTAACCTTTACTGTCTCCAACCATCTCATACCTGTGGGTTGACGTCCAGGATGCAGGTGCGTCCTGTGTCCACCACCTCATGGATGGAATCGATCTTGGTGCCGTACAGGTTGCCATCGTACTCGCCGTGCTCCAGGAAGCGGCCGGCCTTCACTTCCACCTCCATCTCCGTCCTGCTGGTGAAGTGGTAAGAATTGCCGTCCAGCTCGTCGTCACGGGGTCGTCGTGAGGTGTCTGATGGGAGAACATCAGGTTTGATTTGACTTTTCCTGATGGGGGTGTGACAGCACTTTGAAATACAGTGAAATAAGAGCAGTACATGGTATAGTTGTGCCGAAACGCGTCGGCTGGAGGACCATCAGGCGGTTTTTGAGGCTGCGTCGACCCACGCCCTGTGCACCAATCAGAACCAGTGTCTTCCTCTGGAATGGCGGCACTTTCGCCACCTCCTCATAGATCTGCAGCTCGTGTCTGTCAAACTCTGTGAGAACACAATCACACTGTGAGCCAATCAAAAAAAGGAAAACGAAGATATGAACTGAGTCAACAGCATGGGGAGTTTTCTGACCTGCGTTCTTGGCTGTCAGGTACATCATCTTCTTCTTCTTCTTTCCAGCTATAGTGCCACAGAGGATGCCTAGAAAACAAGACTCAGAATTTGATGTGCTTCTTCATCTTGTAGTTATGGTGTTTGGCCAAAGGGGGGCATGTGTGGACCATTTTCTAGTTTTTTCAAACCATCCTCTACCCTAGCACATTCACCATAAATCAGTTTTAAGTGGTAAAAGCAATTGACAGCAAAACAGTTGACAGATTTAAAGCCTCTCCATCTTCTCCACATCACCACTGCTCAAGAGAGAAACTGGAAACTTGAGTTTTAGCTCAAACCGATGTCAATTCACAGCATCTATACAAAAACACCACCAAGAAACATTTGCAGGGACCCACCTGATCCGTCAAAGTCTCGAGGGACGAAAGCTTTCCTCTTCTCCTCCAGGAACTGACTGGGTATCAGTCCTGTAGCTCCAACCACCACATGACACGCCTGGAACAGATTCTAAATCAGTTCAGTCTTGAAATCTTCAGTGACAGACATCCATCCATCCATCATCTATACCACTTATCCTTTGAGGGTTGCGGGGGGAGCTGGAGCCCATCCCAGCTGACATTGTGCGAGAGGCAGTGAAACATAAAGGTGAAGCGATGAATGAAGGCCCACCTGCCACCAGTTGGGATCCTCCCTGTTGACGATCTGAAGGATGTCACCTCTCTCGAAGGCCATCCCCGCCTCCCGACATGGGATGAGGTTGTCGATGGCCGGGTTGTAGTCAAAGTATGGCCTCACGTACACCTGTCGTGAGCACATGCACAGTTTTTCTTAAAGGGTGTGTGGTCATAGGGACATTAGGCGCATGTCAAACAAAGGACAAACTTGTCTTCCCACGCATAAACTATAAAAGCAGGAGCTAAGGAACCCTTCTCACACTGAGGACCTGTTCAGACCTGCGCTAATATCTGTGGTGAGATATCCGATAACAAGTGGTTAAGTCTGTGTGTTCCCACCTGGCATTAGAATGCATCGTGAATGTGTCTCCTGTGATTGGGCCTCACTTCCCTGCACATATGCAAATAAGACACACCATCTTTTGTGTTCGTGATTGTCTGAGTTGACAGATGTGTTCTTAGTCAGTGTGCTTGTGTGTGAATGACTGAATGAATCTCGTGCAGTTTTGCTGTGATGAAAGATTTGACCAATTTAAGAAAAGTATCAGTCATTATGTGGAGGTCAGTGTTGATGTTGTGGCCTCAAACAAATCAACGTATGGACATCAGTGTCGGCTGAGTAGACGGACCTTCATATTTGGCCCAGGACACGTTTGCGTTCACGCAGCACAGAGAATGACGCCCCATGCATCCCAGACCACATCAGATTGCGTTTTTTGTGATCTGACACATTTGGGTCCACTCAGACCTCAACAGACCTACACTTCTCTTAGGATGGACGTTAATATCAGGTCTGAACAGGGTCACACTGACATGATGGCATCGAAGTCACACCCATTGTGTCTCACATGGCACCCGACAGAGCTGCTCAAGCTGCAGAGACTTTCTTTTTTGCCAGGAAGGCTAAGTGCTCTGGCTGACGTATTAGATTAAACAAGCAACCAGAGGAAGCAATAAAGCAAGCCAGTAAAGTGGACTGTGCAGTGCGCCCTGAGCCCCAGAGCAGGATGTGATTTTGCATTATGTCTCATTCACTGTTCATTCAGTTTCAGCCAAATAAACGTTTCTGGGTTTATGTGTGTTTGTTGAGGATTTTTACTCAAGAGCTAAAACTGGTGAAAAGGAGGAAAATGACTGTAAATATCATAAATCACTGTACTTTCCATGTGACGGAGCGTGAGATTACAAGAAGCCTGTGTGTGTGTGTGTGTGTGT